TAGGTTATAGGGGTCGGCTATCCTGGTACGGTCGAGGACGAGGTGACCACGAGCGGGATCTCCTATCTACTTTAGCTGGGGGAGCTTCCCTTCGGTCTCTTTGAGAGACAAGCTTCTTCAAGTACCCTCTCTTGATCAGGTCCTTAATGTCCCTCTTCAGGATGAGACAATAATTGGTGAGGTGGCTGTGATCTCTATGGTAACGGTAATACTGTCAGGTATCTCAGCTCCGTGGATCCGAACTCATCTTGAAAGCGGGCTCCTTGAGGAGCCCCTCCTTTTGGACCATGGAGAGAACTTCTATGAGGGAGGTGTTGAAGACAGTGAGAGCGGTCCTCGGCTTAGGGTCCCCCCGTCGGTCCCTCCTATCGGACCGATTTGAGCAGGAGTCGACCGTCGGGGGTCTCTCGGTCATTCCTACCTCGCAGGGGGGTCTCTAGCGACTGCTGTGTTTGGCGGCCACCAGGTACTGGCTGCAGGTTGTCGACGGTGTGGGAAATGGGCGGCAAGGTGTTGGCTAGTACTATTGCTGGTGTGGTTACTACTACTAAAGTTGTGGCTATGGAGGTCTCTGTAGCCCTTGCTGCCGCCTTATAGCTCAGACATCATCCATGTCCATGTCCCATGAGTTTTGACCATCAGTTGTTCATAATTGGCGACTAGCTTCTTGGCAAGTGAGTCGGCCAACTCATTGCTCTGCAAGCCAGTCACAGGGTGGACATAGCCAACCGCACATCCTTGGGTCGTTAACCTCTAGCTCTTCACTTGGAACCTCTTGAAGTAGGCTCGAAGCTCTCTCCAGGCTCTTGCTCATCTGGATTAACACATGAGGGGCAGCTTCTGCTTGGTGTCAGCCAATAAGTGATGATAAATTTCCTGCTGAGTTGTTGAAAGCTGCTGATAGACTTCTTCTCGAGAGCATTCTGATGAGAGCTTGGCGCTCCCTGAAAGAGTGATGGGGAAGCATCGGCAAATAACTGCTTCCGATGCTTGGAGAATGCTCATCACATCATAATAATTCTGGACATGCTCGGAGGGGTCTTCCTCTCCCTTGTACTTCTCCACGTAAGGTATCTTGAACTTCTCACATGGGACGTTTATAAGGTCATCGGAAAGGGGGGTGTTCTCCCTGATGGTTTCTACGATCGGTTAGTACACCCGATCGTATCTAGAGGCCCTTATGGTAGTAGAGGAGGCCGGAGAGGCACGATGATGTGGGAGAGTCTTAGAGACTACTCCCCTAGTACGATCCCCAAGGTGACCAGGGCCGGGACTCTTATCGGTGACTTCAGAATCAGGGAGGAGACGTTGGAGAGGCTTATCGGGGCGAGTTGACCGATGTGGCAATGGAGTTGTGTACTCGACGCGATCCCTCCGCTACTTGGCAGCGGTATGAGGAGTCTGAGGTGGGAATATTTGATGTGCTCCAGAAGGGGGTGAGTCCCCAATCACTGGTCTTTAGAAGACGGAGGGATAACGAAATTAGCTTGCTGGGGTTATGAAAACCGGCTGAGGAACTCACTAGTGAAGGTAGCGAGTTGCAGTTAGAGGGATTGAGAGATCTACTAAGCCATTTCTTCAAGCTGAGCTTGAGTAACATAGCTCTGGTGCGGTTCTCCAGGGTGAGATTGATCAGCCCTATACTCAGAACCAGACATGCTTTCTCGTAAAAGAAAGAAGGCCCCATGGTGGGCACCAAACTGTTGATGTTAATAATCAAATATATAATATAATGAGGGTGAGGTTGATTAGGGGCCGCTAACTTCTACGAATATCTGGTTTTGAGTTGAGTAGCTTCAGCCTGCACAAATAGCGACTCACATGAGGATGGGGACTAGTTCCCCCATTGTTCCTCCGACGATCAAGTCTGTTGATGGACTTGAGCGGAAAAGTGATGAACTGTGTGAGTTCTAAAGTACAGTAGAATTTTGAGAGATTGATTAGAAGTTGCTTAAGATTGCTTAGAAGTTGCTTAAGATTGCTTACTGTGGTATTTGAAATAGTATCCCTATAGTGATGGAAAAAGGGTAGAATTGTAATCTCGGCCGAGTACATGATTGCGGCAAACAAGTATGGGATGACGGCTACGTCAGCACATACTTTACAAGTGTCGGTCGACAAGTGGAGGAGAGGTCATCTTAGTATTTAATACGAAGTGATTGGAGGCATGACGGTGGCGACGTGGTCTGATATGTCATGAAGACTATCGGGGCTAGAGGAATGATGGCGCATGCCAAGTATTTAATGTGATGTTGACGCATTGTCAGTGGGGGAGACTCTAGGTTGAAGTTGTCCTATGACTTTATTGAAAAGTAACGTCTTTCGAGTCAAACCCCGTTAGGCGTCGAATAACCGGTCGAGTGGGCTTGTCGCGAGTAGTCTCCGACAAGAAGACCGACAAATGCCACCCTTCGAGTCGATCTAAGGAGATGCCGACCCGACGGGTCGGCTAACCCGGGATCCTTGGTGGTCTTGACCGTCAATCTGATTTGAGTGGTGCATGTAGGGGCACACCTGTCCGTTGCTTGCAAAGGGTCGTACTTTGGCGATTGAAAAAACATCATAACAGCATGCCAAAAAATATTCCACCAAACAGTATTTTTAGCTACTTCTTAAAAAAAATAAGTAGACGCACCCTAAAAAAATAGTACGTACCAAACTGGCCCTTACTCTTGAAATTTTGATTTTAATAGATATAGGTAGGGTTATTTATCAACCTCTCAACATGGGAATAAGTTTGATCCTAATCCCATTTTGAGAAAAACCATAATTAAAAAAAAAGCACTATGCTAACTTCATCTCAGTATTTCTCAAATTGAAAAAATAACTATTAAAACTAGTTCTATTTTGATCCATCCACACCAACATCAAAATAGGACAAGTTTAACTGGAAGTATGATCAAAATCAACCCTGAGTCAGTTTAGAGATAGTTGGGCAAACAGATCCTTAACATCTTCCCTTCTACATTCTCAGACCACATGCGCTACGGTGGAAAAGGTCTGACTAAGTTGAAGTACACAATTAAAAGCAAGGCAGTCTAAGTTTAGTATAGTGCATGGTGGTGAGGACTTCGCAAATGATGAGTGATGAGTCCTAGCCTTTCATATGGCGGTCTGGGCTCTAGAGCTTTCCCCCTCTTGCGGGGCCCACTCTCCCTTTAAATTTGGGGCCTCCCATAACTCTCATAACCGCATTTGTTTCCTCCGCTTCTTCGTTCGACAGGTCCTGTTACTCGGACCGCCCCGTGTGCTGTGAGTTCGCGAGAGGAGTTGAACGACGAAGAAACAGATGGTAGACTTCTGTTCTCTCTCTCTCTCTCTCTCTCTCTCTCTCTCTCTCTCTCTCTCTCTCTCTTTATCATTCTCTCCTTTTCTTTTTTTTCCGAGTAAAGAATAATTGTATGGTTAATTTCATATTATCTTTTGATTTTAATTTTGGATGTTATATAGGAAGGAGGGGGAGGAGAGAGATGGGTGGGCTATGTGGATTGGAGAGGAAGGCCAGCCTTGAGGCGCAAACACGGAGGCATGCTTGCAGCTTCGTTTGTATTGGGTACTCTTCTGATCGAGCACTTTACTAAGCACTGTGTGACGTGATTTCAGAAAAAAAAAACTGTAAGATATATAGGAGGAGTTGAATCATCAAAATTAAGCAATTAATATACAGACACGTAACCAAATCCCTTTACTCTTAACCCATACGATCGAGTTTGCAAGGATTGTTTCGGATATTCATTCGTTGGGCAATTTTTCAAAATTAAGGCTTGCCGTTTTGTTCTTGTAGTTGTGAAGCAGTCATTAATTAGCGCCTTAAGTGGAAGATCAATTCTCGTCATACCTAAGGATTCAGGCCAAATGTTTAGTTTTTGGCATTTAGAGCGATTTTTTTTTTCCATTCCGTATCATCTCTCTCTCTCTCTCTAGATCTCTTCCTCCCCCAAGAATATTGGAAAAAGGAAAAACTAATTAGTCTGCTAAATTAATAAGCTATTAAGAGATAAAGCTAGCAACGAAATCCATTTTGCCAATCACATGAGAGCAGATATGGCTCATGACTCCTATCTCTTGATAGTTCATTTTGCTAATTATACTGGATGATAGCTGATATCCACTATTCCCTAAAGAATAGTTGTTTTAGAGCAAAAATAGTTTGTTCATATTTCTATTCATTTTATGTCTTACCTCTTTCATGGCTGCTCCTCTTCCTTCAAACCCGTCACGCTCAACCAACCATGTGAACAAAACGAGAGAACAGTGAAAAGCGTGACATCCCCATATTCAAAAAGAGTCAAAATCAACAATACTGCCTATATCCTATTGTTATAAATTACCATAATTAATTACTTGAGATTTTTTTTTTCCCATCTTATCGGGGTCCAAATCAAATTAATTAAAGTTGTGGGTGCAGTTGTGGAGGTGATGGAGAATCTAGCATTTCTCGCCAATGCAAGCAACTTGGTGACCTATTTGATGGCATTCATGCACCTCTCTCCTTCTCGTTCAGCCAATTCAGTCACCAATTTCATGGGAACCTCCTTCCTTTTGGCCCTACTTGGTGGATTTTTGTCTGATGCTTTCCTCTCTAGCTATCACATCTACTTGATAAGTGCTCTCATTGAGTTCTTGGTATGTCCTCTATCCATTAATTTGTTTATACTTATCATAATTTGATCTAATTTGTCCCTAATTATTAAAGGTAATTTTTATATATATTTATATACATAGGGAAATATGTCATTCGAATCATATAGATCAAAATGAACGGAGTGGATCAAGTAAATTTATTGCATATAATCTAATTTTCAAGGTGCATCCTTAGGTTCAATCTAAGGTGGTTCCTTAGAATCATATTTCCCATATATATATATATATATATAAAGAGAGAGAGAGAGAGAGAGAGAGAGAGAAATATGGGTATGCTTGGTACCAAGCACAAAATTTGTACTTGGTAGTGAGGTATCACAATCCCCTCCACTCATTCAAATGGGGGACCACATTCACATGGGTTGAGGAGTGCATGGGGATATGCAACCATTTGAATGAGTGGAGAGGATTATGCCACCTCACTACCAAACATAGCCATTTTTCTCATATATATATTCAAAATCTAGATATATAAATAAATATGAAGCGAGATTAATCTCAAGGACTACACATTTATAACAAAAAACGTGGGGTGAGGTTGATTCAAGCACCAAGGGCTACTGATTTAGGACTAGTAGGCTTTCTAGTAAGAGGGGCAAATGTAGATATGATAGATTTCTTATGTAGATGACCGCGCCCATTCATATATTCAATAGGGCTTATCATGTTAGCTTGTACATTAGTGTTTCTCATCCCTCAGTTCATGGAGAAAAGAGAGATTATCTACAATTTATCCTTCTCATAATATCAACTCTAAAAATATTATTAACTAAAATTAAATACTAATAAATGAGTAGAAGAATGATAAATATGTTAGTATAGACAAGGAGGATTAACTGCAATCTACCCTTTTAAATACTAACTAATGAAGGATGGAAATTTTGAATTTTGAACAAATTGATTTTACATACTCTATTGATTTTACAATAAGAAAGTATTTTTATCCCCTTTGAATTTCAAGGAATATTTAAGCTAATCATAAGTTTTATTTAGTTGGTCCTTGCTGTACTATTTTCAGTAATTACTGTTTTTAAGTAGGAGAAATGAGTCATAAAAAAATGGAAAAAAATGAAGGAGGTTTAAGAAATCAATCCAATAATTGTAAGAATCAATTCAAAGTGATAATTTAGTAGTAAAGGTTATTCAAATGAATTTGAAGAGATGGTGTCCTCCTTAAAAATAGTGAAGTCTTCCCTGTTTTGTCCATGTGCGTAGCTGGATTTATTTCAAAAAAAAATTTATTCGTTGTGAGGTTGAAATATATTCCAAAACAATAATGTCACTTCACATAGTCAAACATTTGGATTTATATCTTTATTTTATTTTGTCTATTTTATTCTTACATGTCAAAATATTACTTAGAGAGAGAGCAAGATTATGCGCCGCACTCGATTGACGTAGGCGTTTGGCCTTGGCCACAGAAATATCATAAAATAATTAATTATGTTGTCAATCTCAATATTGTCTTCTAGCGTTGGAAGGTTACAACTGCAATTTTCAGATATAATACAAGTGCAAAAAAAAGTAATATATAAAGAAATTGCAACCATAGTTATTAGTTTTATTGTAATTGTAATATTATTCAATATAGGTGTAAAAATAAAGAAAATTTCAAGTAATCAACCATTTATTTTTATTTCTTTGATTTGCTTTGAGATGCTTGTTGTTATATGATACATATGAAAATTATCTTTCCACAAAGGCTATCATACATTAGCGTGAATCTCAAAAGTGAAACAACAAATGATAAAAGGTACGTGAATGGAGAAAGCACTTACTCTATTTAAATTTACAAAAGCTTCTTTAACTAGGGAACTTACATCAACATGTGTATTACATTTTTATTTATGTATTCACATGCATTTACACATGGGCATCAATTTAGTAAACTTGTAGAGATTAATTATTATATTCTAGAAGAAATGGTTGGGGCAATCAATTCAACGTTGAGTACCCCAGGGTGTTAACGTTGCTTCATATATTTTAACGGTGGGTATCATTAGGTATGTGTGGGCCCACATGTGTGGGTAAACTCCAACATAGGAAATTTTATTTAAGCGTAAAATAATGTAAGGACGTGTAAGAGATGATTCCAAAATAACGTTAGATGTCGTTTAGCTTTCATAAAACTATTTCTCTCAACCTCTAGCCACTTAGCTATATGGCAATCCGTACCACGTGGTGGAAATTATGTGATATGATTCTAGTGGTCCTAATAATCATTAATAAGCTTTTCGTTTGTTCAATGGTGGAATTTAAAATTTCAAAAGGAAAAAGTATATTATAGTAATAGAAGTTTCTAAGATTGTAAGATAAATAACTTAATTATTTGGCTACTTGATAATTCAAAAGAGCAAATGAAAGATGGTGTGCTCATTCACAATCTTCATTCATACGCAGCTGATATGGCATACATTTAAAGCATTTTTTTTACGATATTTATATGTTAACAATATGGGTTTTTCTATAGAGTGCCCAAGGGCACTCTATAAAATAAGAGAGAGATAGAGAGAGGCGAATAGTAGAAGGGCCCACTGTTTGCATTTATTTCCGTTCTCACTATTCACCTCTCTCTATCTCTCTCCTCTCTTATAGAGTGCCCAAGGGTACTCTATAGAAAAACCCTAACAAATATTTACCTACGTGTTAACAATTAGGTTTTATGATGTTTTGATTGTGTGCTATGTCTAAGTCGCATTCATCAAGGTCAAGAAGTGACACCATTTCCCCCTTTACTCCACTTGTATAAGTGTTTCTAATAACTTTTACAAGTCATAGCTCATCATATAATAGTTCAGATCTTCTTAATTGGCATTAGCGGAGAATCTATTTTTCTGATCATACCAATTTACTGTTTTATAGAAGATTATTATTTGTATTAATTAAAAACTAAAACGAATTGCAAAATTACATGTAAATGATAATCGTATATTTTGAAATAGAGAAATTTATAATTCAGACAATTATATATAGATCTATCTTCTAAGGGCTAGATGTTACCGTAATTTGCTCTAAAGTTTATCCTATCGTCACATAACTGATTCCCATTCCCCTTGTGGTCCCGACTGACCCATCATTGAATAGAAGAAGCTTGATTTCTGGGCTTTTCAGTTACATGATAAGCCCAATGATCTTCCAACATTGAGAAAGGAACCTAATTAAAACCCATTTATTTTCTAGTTACATTTATGAGTTGTGTTTACCAATACTTGTGTTTCCACGTGAGTACATTCATTACTTGCAAGTTGCAAATCAATATTCTATTTTTTTTCGATATTGGTACCTTAACTCTTTATTTTGCAATTGGTCCCTATATTTTTTTGAAATTTTCATGAAGTCCCTATAATCTTATTAGGTTTTTTTTTTTTTTTTTGAAATTTTCATGTGAGCGATTAATTCAGAGATTTGCGAGGGACCAGTAGTAACATAAAAAGACATTTTAAACCGTGATATTTACCAGTTGTACGTTACAGTCAAACATTTAAGCAACTCGTTCTTTTCTAATAAAATTCTATGTAAAGAAGAACAGTTTTTTGTGGCGGGAATAACAAAATTAAAGACAGGAGAAAAATGTAATGTTGACGTCAATGGAGAAGATATTTCAGTTATTATTGGAAAAGGGCTAATTTGCTTGAGATTCATGCAAGCGAATCACGTGTAGGAAAAAGATGCGCCGAAAGTACACAAAGGTGATACACATAGCTAGTAGACTAACTAATAAAACAAGCAAAGGGCCCCAGAGCTCACTATTGGCTATTATGTTTCTTGATACAAAAATGCATCAGGGACCCCAAATAGGGGACCCAATGAGGGACGGGTGAGTTATCCCCCATGAATACATGATGCACTGTTCATGAACAATGTTGTTGTGTGCGAAAGCACCAATCGTTGTGTTTCGAGGAACCAAACACAAACGCCGAGAAAGAAGATCAAACAAACCAAAATAACGGCACAAACACAAACAACCAATGTTTACATGGTTCGACAAGTTGCCTACATCCACTGGGCAAGGGGGATGAGTTTTTACTAATAGAGAAGGAGAGTACAAACTGAGATTATAAATTATTCAAAACAAACCAACTAATCTCTCAAACAATAACTCTAACCAATAGCTCAGAAAGATCTCTTTTTTCTATGCTCAAAATATTCCCTTGACTGCTCCAATAACCCCAAAACAATCCCAAAGAAACCCTAAAATGTGTGTTTGAATTTATATCAAACACCAATCCCAAACAGAACATGAAATAACAATCTGGGCCTGACCTGATAAGCGGTCGACTGCTATGGTCGACCGCGACAAATGACAGAACCCAGTAAACAATTACAGGGTCTGCCGATCGACCGCGGTAGTCGACCACACCAATGACAGAACTCATAATCAATTACAGGGTTTGGACGGTCGATCGTAGCGGTCGACTGCACCAAGCCCAGAATCAAACCCTAGGTCCGTGCACAAATTCGGTCGATCGGCCTTGCACCGCGGTCGACCGCACACCTCCAAAAACAACTCTCTACTTCCAAAACCTGTTCTTCACCAAATCCTTCGCCAAATCTACAAGTCTTCACCTCGGCGAAGTTTTTCCAAAACTGAGCCGATACCAATACCAACCAAACGTCTCACTTGTTGCGTCCAGTACGAAGTGAAATAAAATCACAACAACGGACTTAATCCACAACAAGTCGAGAACCCAAACGAGAATGCGAACAAACTTTAAATATCGGTATTAACTCACCAAACCGGATGCATCATAAATGACTGCCTACTTATCCTCTTGCCTAATGAATCAAGGCTTCACGTAGTTCACCCAAATGGTCTCCAAAGGCCCTCAATCCAATAGAAGAGTTCTCAACTCTTCACCAACAAATCTGCGACTGATAGCTCTCCCAATGACCCCAAAGTAAAACAAACCAAACACCTCTACCTGAGGTAAACCAACGGTCATATCCAAATTCAAACTATGTCCACCAGCTGTATTCGAATTAACCAACTCATCATCTGCATCCATATCAATATGATCCCCAAACTGTGTCACCTCAGCTGGAATCCCAAACGATACAGTATGATCTGGAGTAATCTCCACCTAACGTGGAGTAGCATCACCCTCCACCCGCTGTGATATCCCAACGATCTGATCAACACTCTCCACCTACCGAGAGTCAAATGTGACATACCTGCTCAGAACAAAATCAGAAGTAAATACCTGATAATCAAACACGCCTCTAAATTCTAATTATACACTCAGATTAAATCTCACATCCTTGATATGACCATATATTGGGTGACCAAACATCCGAAGCAACCTAATATCTGAAGCAGCTCCACCAGATCCAAAATCTCTAAACGCAGCAGTCGGCAACCTATGACTAAGATGACCCAAATATGTCGAAGCCCGAACACCTAAACCAATTCTCAATATCAAACGTCGATCCTCCTCTAGTAAGGAATGACCGATCAAAACTGTCAACTCATCTCGTTGCCCCAATGTTTCCTCTTCAATGAAGTGTCTCAAACTGCCATGAGCTTGATACAAATACAGAAAAAACCCCGACCAAAAATAGAACATCATGTTACTTTTCTGCCAATACACTTCCTCCACCTATTGTTGACTTCTAGGACTTCCTACCAACGGGACTTGGTTGCAACCCACGAATGCCTAGAATAGTCCTCAACGTAGAAAACCAAATATCGATTACCTCCCAATGATGTCTTCTTGAAAGGCCCCCAAATACCTGAATAAACATCACTTAGAAGACCCCTCGATTGATGGATAGAAGTGTCAAACTCTACCTCGGTCTTTTTGCTCATACCAATGTGCTCATAGGACTTCAATCTGCAGGTTAATGCACCTCTCACCAATCCATGCATGGTATCAACACTCGAATATCCCAGCCTCAAATCCTTCTTTCTCGACCATCTTCCTCAAAACACCAACAAACCAATACGGAAGAAACTAAAAGAAAATAAATCCAAACTGCGAGAAAGGTAGATTTTTACCTCCAACTGAAACCCTAACAAGAGCCTTCGAAAGATCTCAACCACGACGGAAACGAGATCCACAATAGTAAAAATCCCACCTTTATCACCAACTGAAACCCTAGACAAGCTTCCAAAGCAATCTACTCCTCAACTTAATCCCAAGCATAACCAAAGCTCTGATACCACTTGTTGTGCGCGGAAGCCACCAATCGTTATGCTTCGAGGAACCAAACATAAACACCGAGAGAGAAGACAAAACAAACCAAAATAACGGTACAAACACAAACAACCAAATCTTATGTGGTTCGGCAAGTTCTATACGTCCACTGGGCAAGGGGATGGGTTTTCACTAATAGAGAAGGATAGTATAAACTGAGATTATAAATTATTCAAAACAAACCAACTAATCTCACCAACAAAGCTCTCAATCTCTCAAATAATAACTCTAACAAATAGCTCAGAAAGATCTCTCTTTTCTATGCACAAAATATCCCCTTGACTACTCCAATAACCCCAAAACAATCCCAAAGAAACCCTAAAATATGTGTTTGAATTTATATCAAACACCAATCCCAAACAAAATAGGAAACAACAATCTGGGCCTGACCTGCTATGCGGTCGACTGTCACGGTCGACCGCGACAAACAACAAAACACAATAAACGATTACAAGGTATGGCGGTCACGACCGCGACAAACAACAAAACACAATAAACGATTACAAGGTATGGCGGTCAACCGTGGCAGTTGATCGTACCAATGACAGAGCCCATAATCAATTACAGGGTTTTTTAAGTGGTCGACCGTGACGGTCGACCGCACCAAGCCCATAATCAAACCCTAGGTCCGTGCACAAATTCGATCGACCGACCTTGCACCATGATTGACCGCACACCGTTAAAAACAACTCCCTACTTCCAAAACCGGTTCTTCACCAAATCCTTCACCAAATCTACAATTCTCCACCTCGACGAAGTTTTCTCAAAACTAAGCCGACACCAATACCAACCAAACGTCTCACTTATTGCATCCAGTATGAAGTGAAACAAAATCATAACAACGGACTCAATCCATAACATGTCGGAAACCCGAACGAGAATACGAACAAACTTTAAATATTGGTATTAACTCACCAAACTGGTTGTATCATAAATAACTGCCTACGTATCCTCTTGCCCAATGAATCAAGCCTTCACATAGTTCACCCAAATGGCATCCAAAGGCCCTCAATCCAATAGAAGAGTTCTCAACTCTTCACCAATAAATCTACGACTGATAGCTCTCCCAATGACCCCAAAGTGAAACAAACCAAACACTCCACCTGAGGTGAACCAACGGTCATATCCAAATCCAAACTATGTCTACTAGCTGTACTCGAATCAACCAACTCATCATCTGTATCCACATCAATATGATCCCCAAACTGTGTCACCTCAGCTGGAATCCTAAACGATATAGTATAATCTAGAGTATATGGAGTAATCTCCACCCAACCTGGAGTAGCATCACCCTCCATCCGCTGTGATATCCCAACGATCTGATCAATACTCTCCACCTGCCGAGAGTCAAATGTGACATACCTGCTCAAAACAAAATCAGAAGCCAATACTTGATAATCAAACACGCCTCTGAATTCCAAATGTGCACTCGGATCAAATCTCACATCCTTGATGTGACCATATACTGGACGACCAAACATCCAAAGCAATCCAATATCTGAAGCAACTCCACCAAATACAAAATCTCTAATCGCAGCAGTCGACAACCTATGACTAAGATGACCCAAATATGTCAAAGCTCGAACACCAAAACTAATGCTCGATATCAAACGTTGATCCTCCTCTAGTAAGGAACGACCCATCAAAACTGTCATCTCATCTCGTCGCCCAAATATTTCCTCTCCAATGAAGTGTCTCAAATTTCCATAAGCTTGACACAATTACAAAAAAGAACCCCGACCAAAAATAGAACGTCGTGTTACCTTTCTGCCAATACACTTCCTCCACCTGCTGTTGACTTCTAGGACTTCATACCAACGGGACTTAGTTACAACCCACAAATGCCTAGAATAGTCTCCAGTATAGGAAACTGAATACTGCTTATCTCCCAATGATGCCTTCTTAGAAGGCCCCAAAATGTCTGAATAAACACCACCTAGAAGACCTCTCGATCGATGGATAGAAATTCCAAACTCCAACTCGGTCTTTTTGCTCATACCAATGTGCTCACAAGACTTTAATCTGCAGGTCAAGGCACCTCTCACTAATCCATACACGGTATCAACACTCGATTATCCCAGCCTCAAATCCTTCTTTCTCGACCATCTTACTCAAAGCACCAACAAACCAATACGGAACAAACTGAAAGAAAATAAATCCAAACTATGAGAAAGGTAGATTTTTACCTCCAAGTAAAACCCTAACAAGAGCCTCCGAAAGATCTCAACCACACGACGTAAACAAGATCCACAATAGTAAAAATCCTACCTTTATCACCAACTGAAAACCTAGACAAGCTTCCAAAGCGTTCTACTCCTTAACTTAATCCCAAGCGTAACCAAAGCTCTAATACCACATGTTGTGCGCAGAAGCCACTAATCGTTATGCTTCGAGGAAACAAACACAAACGCCAAGAGAGAAGACCAAACAACCCAAAATAACGATAAAAAACACAAACAACCAATTTTTACGTGGTTCGACAAGTTGCCTACGTCCACGGGGCAAGGGGGATAAGTTTTTCACTAATAGAGAAGGAGAGTACAAACTGATATTACAAATCATTCAAAACAAACCAACTAATCTCACCAACAAAGCTCTTAATCTCTTAAACAATAACCCTAACCAATAGTTCATAAAGATCTCTTTTATCTGTGCTCAAAATATCCCCTTGACTGTTCCAGAACCCCAAAACAATCCCAAAGAAACCCTAAAACGTGTGTTTGAATTCATATCAAACAATAATCCCAAACAGAATAGGAAACAACACTCTAATGGCCTGACCCGATACGCGGTCGACTGCCACGGTCGCCCGCGACAAACGACAGAACCCAATAAACGATTACAAGATCTAGTGGTCGACCACGACAGTCGATCGCACCAACGACAGAGCCCAGAATCAATTGCAGGGTTTGAGCGGTCGACCGCGGCAGTCGACCACACCAAGCTAGAATCAAACCCTAGGTCCGTGCACGAATTCGGTCGAACGGACTTGCACCGCGGTCGACCGCACAACGCCAAAAACAACTCTTTGCTTCCAAATCATGTTCTTCACCAACTCCTTCGCCAAATCTACAAGTGCATCATGCATTCAGGGGGGACATCTCATCTGCCCCCCCATGATGCACTGTTTATGAAACAGTGCATCATGCAATCAGGGGGGCCTCATCCCCTATTTGGGGTCATGTCATAGCTTTTCTTTGAATCGTAAAATGAGCTTATTTTGAGGTAAGAATAATAATGTTGTTTTATGGCTATTTTGAACCTCATATCCCCGTAATTGTAATTATTTGCAATCGTTTAGACTTGGGGTTTGAACCAAATAGACTTAATTGCTTGACTCCAGCTGAAGGGTTTTATTTTATTTTGAACATCATTTTTTTTCTTTTTAAATTTTACAAGATTCACATCTTAGTCTATTGAATAATCAGATTAAATAATTTTACAATATGCATAAAACCACCCACCTGACCATTTCCCGGAATTTCATTACCAGGGTCTAGTAATCCTCACAATCCAAGCCAAGTCCTCCTCCCTCAAACCGCCTCCATGTGCTCCTACAGACCCTAACGCCCCTTGCCAACAAGTCTCCGGCAACAAAGCCACCATGCTCTTCGCTGGCCTCTACCTCACCGCCTTGGGCGTCGGAGGCATTAAGGGCTCGCTTCCAGCCCACGGAGCCGAGCAATTCGACGAGGAGACCGTGGATGGACGAAAAAACCGGTCGACGTTCTTCAACTACTTCGTGTTCTGCCTTTCCCTGGGTGGCCTCATTGCCGTCACGCTAGTGGTGTGGGTGGAGGATAATAAGGGGTGGCAATGGGGGTTCGGGATTTCAACTTTGACAATTTTGTTGTCTGTTCCAAGTTTTGTTGCTGGATCTGCGTTTTATCGGAATAAGGTTCCTATTGGGAGTCCTTTGACCACTATTGCCAAGGTACGAATATTTTGATTTTAGGGTAAATTTCGGAAAACCTATCATGAACTTTGGAGGATTTTGCAAAGAACTATCGCAAAGAACTATTATAATTTTTATTAAGGAAAATTATTTATACCTTTTTAGGGTAAATTTCTAATTGATCTTGACATTTTTTTTTTTTTGTAGTTTTGATAGTTGATTATAACTACGAAAAGTTTGACCCTTTATGAGATAACACCAAAAACTTAGAAATTGTCGTGTGACACTGTTTTTTTGTTTAAATTTTTATAAAGATAACCACCAATTTATCGGATAATACCCACACTATGCAACTGTTTTGATGTTTGTGACATTTTTAAAAGTGGTTGGTATTTTCTGAAAATAGGCCAAACTTTTTGTGGGGGTTATGTAAATTTACCCCCTTTCCCCAATAAAATGTTTGATATGGTTTATTGCGGAAATTTCGAGAGTGCATGGTACTTTTGTACTTTGTATCATGAATGTACGTAATTAACGAGCATTATTATCAATCCCCAAAAGGTTTTGGTCGCATCCCTCTTAAGCTGTAACTCGGCCCAAAGCCCAAGCAGCGCTGTAGCAGACCTGGCCTCCAACCCGATCCCGGCCCAAATGAAAGGGAAAGAAGAACAGGTTTTGGTTGCATCTATCTCAAGCTGTAACTCGGCCCAAAGCCCAAGCAGCGCTGTAGCGGACCTGGCCTCCAACCCGATCCCGGCCCAAATGAAAGGGAAAGAAGAACGAGCACCGAACGAAGCTCAGAAACAGGTATTCGGACGCCTATCCGACGACCTACAGTTTCTAAACAGGGCTACCCAGCCCAAGCCCATCTGCAGCGGGCTCACGTGCACGGCCGAACAAGTCGAGGACGTAAAGATAGTCATCAAAATCGTCCCGATTTTCTTCTCGACGATAATGCTCAGCTGCTGCCTGGCCCAACTCAACACCTTCTCGGTCCAGCAGGCCCGGACGATGGACACCAGGGTGGGCTCGCTCGCCGATCCCCTGGCCCGCGCGTCCGCTCCCGATCTTCCCCGCTCGTCTTCATGCATGATCCCTCGCCGCCGCTGTTTAGCGAGCCTACGTCATCATGCCCGTTACTTCCGAAGGCGTCACGAAGACCGCGAAGCGCCGCATCACCCACCTATGCCAGAGGAATCCGGAGTGCGGGCTTCTCCTGTCGGTCGGGTCGCCATGGTGGTGCGCGCGGTGTTGTGAGAGCAAGCGGAGCCGCGTGGCGCTCGGCCTTCGGCGCCTGGCGCCGAACGGCGGAGGCCCGCTGCGATAACGTTCTTCTGGGCACGTGCCTTCCAGTACTTGTTGCTTGGGCTGCCGCGTGATTTCTGTTCACGCTGGGCGGCACTCCTTGAGCTTTTTCTTCCCAGGCCGCCGACGGGATGAAGTCGCTGGCCGACGTTTCGCTGTCGTGCGGCCTCGTGGCAATGCGGCTACTACCTCAGCTCAGTGGCTAGTGGAGCGTCCGTGAACACCGTGACGTGGAGAGCGAGGCCACAAGGCGCCTGGCTCGCTGGGGGCTAACCTGAACTACTATCATTTGGAGAGGTTTTATTGGCTCATGTGTGTTTTGAGCTGTGTAAACTTTGTGCAGTACTTGCTTTGGGCTACTAGATATAAATATAGATCAAGAGGGAAGCAGTGAGGGGTTGATGTAAATTTTGATGAATTAATATGGGTGCGCTGCCCCAGTTACACCATAGAATTCGGAGAGATGAGGCTGAGGCTTCGAGAAGAAGGGAAGGCTGGGTTAGGGGTTGGAATTAAGCATAATTAATGAGAATTCTTTGCAATTTCTCTGGTCAATATTGGACCTGTGAGAGATCGGAGTGCTGAGCTAATGAATGGGCCTTGGATCACTTAAAAGGAGAACCATGCGTAGTCGTCAAATGTGTAGTATCATCATTGACTTGTCCATGATGGGTCTGTTTAATGTTTGACTAATAGAATTCTATTCATTATTAAATAAAATCAAGTTCAGGTTTGCTTTTTTTGGGGGAGTGAATATGTCAATTACTAAGGGGTCTAATCAACAAAATTAGGATGAAACATATATTTTTTGACACTCATGAAGTACGCGTAAGTGGTGCAGAAGCAAACACCAGCATCAGCTTCTAATCCACTAAGAAAGATAATCTCCAGATCCAGAAAGTATATTGAGGAAAACAGCACCTCATCCTTCTATATAAATAGAAAACATAACCTCCCCCTATTTTGTTAGAACTTTTGAAAATGAAATTTCTTCAAAGCTACCTAAATGCTTCCATGATATAGAGCAAACAAATCAGTCAAATTTGAATTAAAAATAAATTTTAGCCTATTCAAAACAGACTTCAACTTTATTACTAAAACGATTAAAATACTTTAAAAACAAAGGTACATACTACTGATAAAATTTTATGATTCTATATATTTGCAGATTCGCGAAGCACTTTCTCTTCGCCAAGCTAACTACTCAACCTGAATCCATTATGACAAGTAAATTACATGCCCGCATATCCTTTTTTACAAAGGATAAGTGCCTTAACCAATTTAATATGTCCGCGTATCAAATTAACATTTGGAGGGGTTTATTCTCGATATTTAAAGAGAGAAAAGTTAGCAATATTTAATTATGGGTTTTTCCGATATATGCCCTTCAAATTGTATGTAGTTTTTAATTTTCCCCTCAAATTATTATAATTCTAACTTTAACCCTGAAATTGTTTCTTTACCTTGGTAGGATCCAAATAACTACACGCATGTAATAGGGTTGATTTACTACATAAGCAATGTATCAGTGAAACAATATAAACCCATAAACAACAAGTTTAGGGCTATCGATTCGGATCTTTTCTATAGGATCGTCACGTCTTTCTTGATCAACGGCCGGAAGACAACCACACGGTGCAACCAGCAAGAAATCTCCACATATCACCCTGTGACTACGTATAAAGCACAAATTTGAACAAAGAAGAATATGACAGCTATGTGAAGGTTTTTAGTATATTATCCACCCACTTATTTGGATTATGAATATCTTATCTCTAAGATAAAATATTATCCACCCACTTATTTGGATGTCTATCTCATAACAATAACCAACAACCTCAATTCTACCCTCAATCTTAATGCTGTTGAATTGTAGACAATTTTAAGCTAAAATCACCTCTATATCCCTAATTTATTGTTATAAATAAGAAAATTAGCAAACTAATGGATTTCTAACCTTTATTAGATTAAAACTACTCTTTTAGTTTGTTCCGCATGATTAGATTTGGTTGGGTAGGCGCATCACATGAAACACAATGAAGAGTTCAGACCACCATCATAGCTAGGGATTCCAAGCTAGCCTAGCAAATTAAATCCAATCTCTTCTTGCAATGCCAACCCACCAAATCCAATATCCTCACTTGGATCCACATTGACATGTTGCAGGATCCGAATAGGTTAGGCTTTAATGATGTGCATACGGAGATTGTGTTGTGCGCGGCGCGGAAGCGGTTGAATCACACAATCCGAACAAGAGAGATCACAACTAAATAAACAAGCACAATCACCAAATAACACAAGAGATTTACGTGGTTCGGCAAGTTGCCTACATCCACGGGGCAAGGAGGGGAGAGTTCTTACTATAAGAAATCAAGAGAATACAAATAGAGTTACAAATCTCACCGATCAAACCCTAAAACAAAGCTCTAGATCTCTCACAACTCTCCCACAATTGGATGCAACAATTCTCTCTTCAAGGCTGGTCAAAATCGTCCTTAAGTTCTCCCTAACAAATCAGGTTTAGGGATATATATAACTTAGAAAACGAATCGGGTTAAAAAACCGAAGCCCAACCCAGAAAACATCGACGGTCGACCGCGGCGGTCGACCGCGCAGGTCTCGCGGTCGACCGCGACGGTCGACCGAACCACAAACCCGAGAGCATAAATCCATTACAGTCATCCACGGTCGACCGCGGCGATCGACCGCGACGGTCAACCCCGCTTTCATCCGAATCCCAGTAGGCCTGCGTGCACGTTGGCGGTCGACCGTGACGGTCGACTGCCAGTCTGTCTAGCTGGTTCCTTCCTGTTTCCTGTAATTCTTCAATTCTCCACCTCGACGAATGTTTCCACCAAAACTGAGCGGACACCAAATCATCCAATAGTCCCTCAACAAGTCAGGGAACTAATCTAGAGCTGAAACGCGATCCCCCCCTAATCTGAATCAACTGATCAAACCGGCTGCATCTGAAAGACTGCCTACGTATCCTCTTGCCCAAGGAATCAAACCGAACGTAGTTCACCCAAATGGCCTCCAAAAGCCTCAATCCACTAAAAGAGTTCGCAACCCTTCTCCAACATCACGATCAAGTCTGCGGCTGATAGCACCTCCAATGGCCTCAAACTGAAACAATCCAAACATCTCCACCTGAGATGAACCAATGGCCATATCCAGACTACATCTATCAGCTGTACTCAAATCAATCAACCTATCATCTGCATCCAAATCAACACGATTCCCAATCTGATCTGGAGTTTCCACCCAACGTGGAGTAGCATCACTCTCCACCTGCTACGATGTCCCAAAGATCTGATCACCACTCTCCACCTGCCGAGAGTCAAACGTGACATACCTGCTCAGAACAAAGTCAGAAGCCAATACCTAATCAAACACACCTCTGAATCCCAAATGTGCTATCGAATCAAATCTCACATCCACGATGTGACCAGGTGCTGGGTAGCCAAATATCCGACGCAACCCAAAATCTGAAGCAGCTCCACCAGATCCCATATCTCTACATGCAACAGTCGACAACCTATACATGAGACGGCCCAAACCTGTCGTAGCCTGCACACTAATGCCAATGCTTGACATCAAACGCCGATCCTCCTCCAGAAAGGAACAGCTGCCCAAATCTGCCATCTCGCCTTGTCGCCTCAAAGTTTCCACACCAATAAAGTGTTTCCTATTGCCGTGAGCTCGGCACAAATGCAAGAAAGAACCCCTACCATAATTAGAATGTCGGGTTACCTTTCTACCAACACACTTTCTCTATCTGTTGCGGGCTTCTAGGACTTCACACCAACGAGACTTGGTTACAACCCACCAATACCTAGAGCAATCATCAACTGCGGAAACCACATACCTATTACCTCCCAATAATGCTCCCTTGGAAGTCTCCCGAATGCCTGAATGAACACCCCTCAGAAAACCCCTCGAATGATGGATAGAAGTGCCAAACTCCATATTGGTCTTCTTGCTCATACCAATGGGTTCACAGGACTTCAAACTGCAGGTCAAAGCACTCCTCAATAACGTATGCACGACATTACCAATCAAATAACCCAGCATCAAACAACGCCACAGTCTAGCCAAATCTGATGAAGTCGTCATCTCCCTATCAATCGTCGTGCTTCCGAGCAAATAATACAAATTACTCCTTCTGACGCCCTTCATCACAATCATGGACCCCAATGTGACCTTCAAACGTGCATCCACCAAAGTCACTTTATAGCCAGATACCACCAAAGCTCCTAGTGAAATGATGTTCTTCGACAACTGCGGAACGAACATCACTCCTTCCAACTCCTGAATCACTCTGTCATACATCCGAATACGAACGATACCAATACCACCAATAGAGCATGCATGTCCATTACCCATGAGCACAACATCCTCTCTTTCTAACTTCTGAAAGCTGGAGAACCAATCCCTCCTAGGGCAAACGTGGTATGAAGCACCCGAATCTAACATCCACTCTGTAGAGTTGGAAACACAAACTGACGGAAGTGCAGACAATGAATAGCCCGAAGAATCCGAATCTGAATTGTTGCCACTAGTCTTGACAATATTCACCTCTGAAGATTGTACAGCTTTCCCCTTATTCTTCTCGGCTCGATCTAACTTTGGACATTCGGCTTTTCAATGTCCATCCTCTTTAACAAAAGGCAACACTGATTGCCTACGAATTCCCAACGATGTGCCCTCTTAAGACTGGCGACCTCCTGCTTCGGTTTTGA